TCTCATTAATTTTTTTGTTGGGTTGTTTGATATATCTTTACTATAACTTGTGTTTTTTTTGTTGAAATATTCTGAGATTACTACATAATTGGGATTGCGGGGATGCTTGAGAATCCTTGCAAGAAACTGAAATTTGGGGACTTTTTAATGGAACCTTTCATCGGGAAAATTGCATATCCAAATTGTAGGATTGAAGAATTGATGTGTTGTTCTTATTCTTTAATTTATGTAAGCATTTACTGGATTGAGGAAAGTTTTATGATGGTTCTGGTGAGAAGAGAGAGTTTGCAGACCCTGTTCTAGAGAGTATGGCATTTGCAGATGTTTCCTTTTTTTTTTTTTTTTTTTTTTTTTTTTAATGATATTGCATAATACTTTTTTTTGGTATTTGATAGTTTTAAAAATTAAAATATTATTAACCAATTAGTAATATATATATATATATATATATATATATATATATATATATATATATATATATATATATATATATATATATATATATATATAGCATATTGAGTGGGTAAAAACGACAAACAATAAAAAATCAGTTATAATTGAGAAAGTCAACATGTCACGTCATCATCAACTAACATATTGTAAACGGAGGGGCCATTTTGTTACGTTTCGTAGTTTAAGGGGGTGTTTGTGACAAGCCCCATAATTCAGGGGTGCAAACTGTACTTTCCCCTATTATTTAAAATAAACTGGGGATAATTACAGTTTTGGTCCCTATATTATATACCATTTTTATTTTGGTCCTTCAAGCGGAAATGCACCCCAAGTGGGGGTCAATTTTTAATTTCTGGAAATCCATCTCCCCACCTAAAATAGTTCTGAAAATTGAAGAATCACCCATTTACTTACTCCATCTTCCCAGCCGTTCCACCCAAATTGCAAATATCCAAAGTATATGCCACCATCTGCCACCAATGCAGCATGCTTCGAATCTTCCTCAGTTGTAATCGCATGTGACTCATTTACGAAAATTCGCAATACTGAGCTTAAAATCTTATGATTTACGGTACAAATCTTACGATTCAATTCATTCATACCTAAGTCCGATACAAAAGTTAAAACCAATCTTAAATATCAACAAATCGATCAAATTTTACGATTTGCGATTTAACAAAACATTGATTTATTATATTATTTGTAATAAACTTGGGATAATTACAACTTTGGTCCCTATATTATATACCATTTTTAATTTTGGTCATTCAACCGGTAATTCCCCACAAGTGGGGGTCATTTTGTAATTTACGAAAATCCACCTCCTTGGTTGAAACAGTTCTGAAAATTGCAGAATCACCATTGTACTTACTCCATTTTCCCAGCCGCTCCACACAAATAGCAAATTTGACCCCAAAGTGGATCTCTCCTGCAATACCCGAAATATCTGCCACCAACGCAACATGCTTCGACTCCTCCACAGCTGTAATTGCGTGTGACTCCTTTAGGAAAATTCGCAATACCGAGCTTAAAATCTTATGATTCACGATTCAATTCATTAATATATAAGGCTATTCAAATGTTAAAATAAATCTTAAATACCAGCAAATCGATCAAATTTTACATTTACTTTATTATATTATTTATAATAAACTTGGGATAATTACAGTATTTGTCCCTATATTATATACCCTTTTTAATTTTGGTCCTTAAACCGGAAATGCCCCCCAAGTGGGGGTCAATTAGTAATTTCTGGAAATCCAGTTCCCTTGCTGAAATTTTTTGCAGAGTCACCCTTGTACGTACTCCATCTTCGTAGCTGCTCCACTCAAATTGCAAATTTGAGCCCAAAGTGGATCTCTCTTGCAATATCCGAAGTATCCACCACCAACGCACCATGCTTCGAATCCTCCTTGGTTGTAATCACGTGTCACGCCTGTACGAAAATTCGCAATACCAAGCCTAAAATCTAATGATTTAAGATTCAAATCGTACGATTCATTTCATTCATACCTAAGTCGATTCAAATGCTAAAATAAATCTTCAATAGCAACAAATAGATCAAATTTTACGATTTACGATTTAAGAAAACTTTAATTTATTATAATATATATAAAAAATTTGGGATAATTACAGTTTTGGTCCCTATATTATATACCATTTTTTAAATTTTGTCCTCAAACCGGTAATGCCCCCAAATTGGGGGTCAATTTGTAATTTATGGAAATCAAAAGTGTTGAATTTTTAAATTATGAGGGACTTAATCTGAATTTCGTGAACTAGAAAGATCAAACTTGGATTTAAGGTAAATTAAAAGGGGCATAATGTATATTTTCCCAATATAAAGGGTGCAAGATGCTAATAAATATAGAACTCTATATTTCTAGGGTGGTCCAAAAAATATACTATTTAAATACACCGAGACTATTCCATTTGATCAGAGGTTCAAAAGCAGTTGCAACCGAACACAAACAGATACAAATCTCTGTGAACCTCTCTCATCGGAAAACGAGCGGCGGTGGAACTGTAGGATAGCAAACGGCGAATGTCTCACAACTCCGCCCTGGAGAAAACTGCGGCGAATGTCTCAGGCGAATCTGGAGGAGTGACCCCGAACCGTTCGAAAGAACCGTTCGCGACACCATTAACGCTCACCTTTACGAAGATATGACGACGCTAAGGTTTGTTCTGGACTAAACCATTCACGCTCGCCTTTACGAAGATATGACGACGCGAAGATATGACGACGCTAGGGTTCGTTCTGGGCTACCGGGGAGATTATTGTCATTCTAGGGCAGCTTGTCAAAACCATTCACGCTCGCCTTTACGAAGATATGACGACGCGAAGATATGACGACGCTAGGGTTCGTTCTGGACTACCGGGGAGATTATTGTCATTCTAGGGCAGCTTGTCACGGAGTGTTGCGAATGCTAAGTGATGAAAAACGAAAGAAGAACTTAAGAAGATTGGATGTGATTTGTTGGATGATTACAAATGAGGACCCTACCCCTATTTATACTAGGCCACCTCCTTAATGGACGGTGGAGATCTATTTGATCTAACGGTTGGGAGTTGTTCACTAAAACACTCCAAAGAATTCCTACAAAATAGGGAGGGTTCTAGAATATTTTCTAGAATCCTCCAAGAATCTCTACTCCTCTGTGCATTTGGGAACTTGAGCCTAACCCTATTTGAGTTAAGTTTTGGACTTCCTTAACCTCCCAACCCAAGAGAAACTGGAAAAGGGTTGGGCCAAAACTGGCGGGCCGTGACAAGCTGCTTCAGAGTATGCGTGTAATGGAGGGATAATTACAGTTTTGGTCCCCCAAGTTTGCACGTTTTTCACTTTTGGTCCCCCATTTACCGCCGTCAACAAAATACACACTAATGTTGTCACATTTTAACACATTTGGTCCCTCCGTCTGTTTTGACCATCAAGAAGTAACGGTCAACTGTTGAATTATGGCTGAATTTGAGAATTTTCATAGATAAAAATTGCACTCAGACCCCTGCATTATTTTAAAATATTCAAAAAACCCCTAAAATTTTATTCAACCCTAATTTAACCCAATTTCATCATTTAATCAATCTTGACAAACGACCCCGATTTTTACAAGCATTTTCGCTGACCGTTAACCGACGTTGTTGTTGTTGTTGTTTTCTTTTTTCTTTTTTTTTTTACTTTTTTTTTCGGCATTGACTTTTTTATTTAATATGATTTTGACGCCGTTCACCGACATTGTATTCTAGGTTAACAATGTTGACTTTTTTTTATTTTTCTTGATTTTTTATGAACTTTTTTCTTGTGACTTTTTTTTTTCCTGACAATTACCGTAGACACAATAATAATACTATATCAATATCTAGTATCATAATATTAAAATTACGGTCTAAAAAAAATCATAATATGAAAATTAAAAACTTCTAATAAAGTTTTTATCTAAAATTCTAGGGCCTAACCTCAATTTAAAAAAAAATTCTAAAATCCATAATTTGTTTCCCTCAATTTTTTCTTCGTGGAACCGCTAGTGCAACCCAAATTTCTTCCCAAAAAAATATGAAGACGATGAATTAGGCATGTGCGGAGTAATTTGTAATGAGATAACCACTCTAGTGCAACGGTTTTTGGGGCTAACACCGGCCGTTAATTTTTATCTTTTTTTTTTTGTCTTAAAATTTTTCCGTTATTGAGATACGTTGACTTTTTCCTTTTTTCTTTATTTGACTTTTTCTATGATATTTTTTTCTTGCCGATTATCAGCTTTGAATTTTTTTTAAATTATATTTTTCCATTACTCAACAATTTAAATAAAAATAAAATAAAAATCAAGAGAAAAATGTCAACGCTGTTAACCCGACATTCAACATCGGTCAACAACGACAAAAAAAGATCAATCGAAAAAAGAGTCAACCGAGTTAAAAAGAAAGTCAAAGTCGGATTACCCAATTTTGAAAAATCGAGGTCATTGGTTAAAATTGGTTAATTGATGAAATTGGGGTTAAATTATGGTTGGATAAAAGTTTAGAGGTTCTTAGAATATTTTGAAAGAATATAGGGGTCTTATTGCAATTTTTTCAAAGAAAAACCCCAAATTTAGCCGTTGACCGTTACTACTTAACAGTCAAACAGACGGAGGGACCAAATGTGTTAAAATGTGACAACATTAATGTGTATTTTGTTGACGGCGGTAAATGGGGGACCAAAAATGAAAAACGTGCAAACTTGGGGGACCAAAACTGTAATTATCCCTGTAATGGATGTATACTCTAAATTCAACACAAATATTCAAACGCGACTACAAATTAAAAAGTGGTGACGAAGTCGCCTTTCTCCTCTCGCGTTTTCATTTATAAGCACGATTTCTTTCAACAAGCTCTCGCGTATTCATTTACAAGCCTTTCTCCTCGCCACCACCACCCACCGGTAGCCGCACCACAAAGACGTCGGCACCCAAACCATATATATATATATATATATATATATATATATATATATATATATATATATAGACGGAAGCTTCTGTTATTTAATTTCGTTAGCCGTCGTTAATTTTTTTTCTCTGGTTAGGGTAAAAAGAAGTTTAAAAAGCTTGAAAATAGGGTGAGAAAAAAAGGGCTAAATTCAGAGGTGGTTAACCATGCCGAAGGGAGAGAAAACTCAACTTGGCCGTGCTCTGGTGAGGCAGCACAATCAGATGGTGCAGCAGTCGAAAGAGAAAGGGAGGTATTACAGGAGCCAGCATAAGAAAGTTCTGGAATCGGTGACTGAAATTAGCGATATAGAAGCCGTTATCGAGCAGGCTGATGAGGCCCACCGCCTATACTCCGCCGTCAATCCTCCCGGAAAACTCACTATCAATTTGTAAACCTACTTGCTCCTCTTTAGTTTTTTCGTACTGTTCCGTTTCAGTGTTGTTTATTTTTATCAAGGACCCGATATGGATTGATATACCTGGCGAAATATCGATTTTATTTCAATCTCTCCTTTTTTCTGGTTGTGGGTGTGAGGAAAATGAGTGCGATATCAGTTGAAGCCTCATTTCTAGTGCATGTTTTATTTAGGAAAACCCTAAATTTGTTTTAATTGTTTGGTTATCTTCTTTGAGACTTGTTTCACGCGGCATCTATGCTGGTCTGGTGTGCAATTTTTTTACCTTTAGCTTGATTCTATAATAATGTCGTTGCCCCTTTATTGGTCAGTGTTATGTCTGTAAAACCTGTTTGCTTCTTTTTTCCCTTGTCTTTTTTCGTAATTGTAGTCTTTTATTTATGTATCAGGGATCCTGCTTCGAGAAACAATGAGATGACACTTGCAGAAAGAAGCAAGGAACAGAAGAAAGAGGAGGCTTTGCATGCCAGTAGTCTTCGAATTCCTCGCAGGCAATACAAGTTTCTGTTATATCTTTGTTTGATTGTTCTTAAGCAGAAATGCTAATGCAATACTTTCTTCTCCAGGCCGCCGTGGAATGCTAAAATGTCTGTAGAAGAACTTGACGATAATGAAAGAAGAGCTTTTCTAGAGTGGCGCCGCAAACTTGCAATGTTAGTCTTTCTTAATTACGAGGCAATTTCACGACCAGAATTTATGATATGAATTTATTCTCTGTGCTGCCAATAATACATTAGTAACTCATTGTGCTTATGTTCTCTTTCTATCCTTTATATGTAATTGAGCATCTTCCGATTATGGTTTGGATCTGCTATGATTCCTAAAATGGGATTTTCATGCTGGTTATCTTTTGTCTCTTATTGCGTGTTTGTTGAAATTATTATAAGTTGTTTGTGGATAAGTGGATCCATAATTTCTCAGAGTCTGTGAAATTAATTGCGTTTTGCTTTGGTTTCTCGCTAAATTTATTTTCTGCTCGGACCACTGCAGGTTGGAAGAGAATGAGAATCTCGTTCTTACTCCATTTGAGAAAAATCTTGATATCTGGAGACAGCTTTGGAGGGTGCTTGAACGTAGTGATCTGGTAAGATTGCTGTGTTGCACGTAGTGTGAAAATTATAAAATTATTTGTACAACTGATTCTCCAACTCTTCATCATATCTGATTCATCACTTCAATGCTTGGCATGCTGGGAAAGCATATCAGTTTCTTCATATTGACCAAATTTCTATCTAGAAATGTTCTTCTAAGAAGTCCAAATCACTGTTGACCACAATGTTAGACCATCTGGTGAAGTCTTTGAACTCTGGATTCATGCTTTTGAACCTATACATAATTTCTTTTTATCCAGTTTGATTCATTACATGCTTGGCATGCTGAGACAGCTTATTAAGTTTCTTCATTTTGACCAAAGTATCCCCTAGAAATGCTCCTCAAATAAGTTAAACTCCAGTGTTGACACCACATTTAGGCCATCTGGTTAACCCTTTGAACTCTGGATTTACGCTTTTGAACCTATACAGAAATTTTTATCTAGTGTTGGCATGCTGAGAAAGCATTTTCATTTCTTCATTTTGACCAAAATTTCCCTCTAAAATGCCCCTCCAGTGTTAACACAAGATTAGGCCATTTAGCATGTTCTTTTTGAACTATGTATACATGCTTTTCAACGTATACTAACATATAGGTTAGAGTACCACGACTCATTGGAATGCATCCAGTATAGGAAATGACTTGACAAAAAGCTTATGTTAGGTTTGACGGGCTGATGTCCCTAGGTAATAAATAGGCAATTAAGATTAAAAAGAATTTTTTTGGCAACGATTGCTTCAGTGTCTATGGAATATACAGAAACACAAGCGTGAAGTATTTTGTTTATTTGTACTAATTACATAATATTTCAAAGATGGTTCTGATTTTCTCTGGAATGGAAGGTGAGACCTGTCTTGAAGATCAAAATATTGTTGCAGGCATGCAGACGTTTTAAGTAATTATAACTTGGATACCATGAAAATGGGACCTGCATCTACTCGTTTTTCTGTTTCCACCCAACAATGCCTGTGAGCAAAAAATAAATATGTTAATTAGGTTATAGGTTTTTCATCTTATAGTTCCAACCAACCTGTTGATTTTCTTGAGAAGTTGGTATTGTTTTGTGTTTAAAGATGGTGGAATTGGGTCTTAAAAAAAAGCATATTATTTTGTGATTATCTCGGTCAAGTTTTAAATTTATACTATGTCAGTATATCTTATTTGATGCTGATCTCTCTCCTTATTTGGTTGTTGAAGCTTGTGATGGTTGTTGATGCAAGGAATCCACTCTTTTACCGATGCCCTGATCTTGAGGTAATGTGTGATAGTTAGGTTTTAAACTACAGTTAATTTTTTTTACGTATTTAATATTTTTGTGGATATGACTTCTATAGTTCTATATAAAGAAATGCAAAGTTTTGAGCTACTGATCAATGCATAAGCCCATGGCAGTGCATCATACTATGTTACTGTTTTCAGAAAGCTGATAAAAATATATTGATTAATCAATTGTAATTTTTTTGTAAAATGGTCTTTTAAAATTTTGCACTAGTAATATCAATATGATGCAATAAACTTGTTAGTTTGCCACTATTTTGTCAAAAATATCCTGACAAACATTAATTTATCAAATTATAGGCATATGCACGAGAAATCGATGAACACAAAAGGACATTGCTTCTTGTTAACAAGGCAGATCTCCTGCCATTTTCCGTCAGGTTAGTATTGTAATAGTGCTTCTGCTCTTCCGTGAATTTTCCTCTGATTTCAAATCATAGAAGATTTTATGTGTGAATTTATCGCAGAGAAAAATGGGCTAAATACTTCAATCAACACGGGATTCTATTCGTTTTCTGGTCAGCAAAGTCTGCTACCGCTGATTTAGAGGGTAAAAAGCTCGTTCTTCCCTTTGGAATGCAAAGCTCTCAACAAGACTCTAGCGACGGTGATACTAAACTATATGGCAGGGACGAGCTACTTGCTCGCCTGCAGTCCGAAGCCGAAGAGATAGTTTCAATGAGAAGTAAATCAAAATCCAATAACGCAAGCTCGTCTGACGAACATTCTGAAGATGGAACTGTTTCCAGACATTCGCCAGCTGGCAGTGTTGTCGTCGGATTCGTTGGGTACCCAAACGTGGGAAAGAGTTCCACAATCAATGCTTTGGTGGGTGGGAAGAAAACTGGCGTAACTTCAACTCCTGGCAAGACAAAACATTTCCAGACACTGATAATATCGGAGAAGCTAACTCTCTGCGATTGTCCTGGATTAGTGTTCCCATCTTTCACCAGTTCGAGGTACGAGATGATTGCGTCTGGGGTTCTGCCTATTGACCGCATGACAGAGAATCGGGAGGCTGTCCAGGTGGTTGCGAACCGAGTGCCTAGAGCTGCAATCGAGGGTGTCTACAGAATCTCGTTGCCTAAACCTAGGTCTTACGAAAAACAATCCCGTGCACCTCTGGCTGTAGAGTTTTTGAGGTCGTACTGTGCTTCTCGAGGATACGTTGCTTCGAGCGGACTACCAGATGAAACGAAGGCCGCCCGTCAAATCTTGAAGGACTACATTGATGGGAAGCTTCCACACTTCCAAATGCCACCTGGCATTTCGAATGACGAGGACGAAGAGAAGCATGGATCATACTCCTCTAATAATGATGATGATTTTGATGATGATGATGGTGATGATGATGATGATGATGATGATGATGATGATGATGATGATGATGATGATGATGATGATGATGATGATGATGAAGATGAAGAAGAAGATGAAGAGAAAGAAGATGGACCAGGTCTGGAGAATGTGCTGAATGATTTGAGTTCGTTCGACATTGACAATGGATTAGCTACAACCAAAGCTGCTGCTGCTGTGAGGAAGAAGGCATCCATTGCACCTCATAAGCAGCATAAGAAGCCTCAGAGAAAGAAAGACCGTACGTGGAGGGTGAAAAATAATGGAGGTGATGGAATGCCGATAGTCAGGGTCTTCCAAAAGCCGGTTAATGCTGCCCCGTTGAAAGATTAATCGAAGATGGGCACTTCTCTGAAGGTACACTCACCTTTTTTTCGTAGCTTACTATTTGCTGTAGCAATGTGGTTTCGCTATTATATGTTCTTATTTTATCTGTTATTTATTTATTTATAAAGTTTCTCGATATACGCATAGATCACGGTATTGTGCATCTTAATTGTGGAATTCATGACGGAACAGTTGGATGGTAGTGTTTTTTTCGTTTACTCCCTTGTTTGGTATGAGTTTGTGTAATGGATAAGTTGTAATCCCTGAAGTTGTAGTTTTTCGATTTTGAGGGCGGTTACTAAAAAATTATAATCCATGCGACATTTTCAGATATGGTTTTGTATGATATTTGATGGGGGTGTTCATCTTTGACGGGTTTTTTTCGAAATTGTTTGGTTTTTGCTTTTATAAAAATAATAATGAACTTGCTTTTCTATCTTCTTCTGTTTTTTCACTGTGATTCATTGAGTGAGAGAAGGCTTACGAAACGTTGAAGCGTCGATTGTACATTGCAATTTATGTGTTGGCCGAGAAACGAGCATATTATAACAGTGGCTATAATCCAAAAATCGAACATAAATAAAAAAGTTATCCGCCAAAATAAATATCGATGGATATCCGCTGAAAATATGACCAAAATTTCACTTAAAAGTGATAATAATAATTTATAAAAGTTGGAATACTTTAAGAGTGATGATGATTTATAATCAAATTTTTTTTAAGTTATAATTTTGCTCCCTAGAGTTTAGGGTAAATTACAAACACCCCCTGAGGTATGGTCAAATTACAAAAACACCTCTTTTGTTTGGATAATTACAACCACCCCCTCAACTCCTCAAATTTAGTGGAATCTTCGAGATTATATGGAATATTATCACTTTTGTACCCGTTTTATCGCATTCAAACTCTACATTATGAATCAAGATGATCATAATATGTGATTTTTAACTTGTATATATCAGTTTGTGGTGCATCGGAAACTGTATTTTTACACAAAACGAATACAAACTAGAGCACATTTCACGGAATCTAGATGATTATGTTGAATTTGGCACCATAAGGGTGAATGTGTAAGAAAAAATCATAGTTGAGGGGGTAGATGTAATTATCCAAACAAGAGGGGGATTTTTGTAATTTGACCATACCTCAGGGGTGTTTGTAATTTACCCCTAGAGTTTATATCCCCGACTAAAAATTTAAAGCATCAACCCAAGCCAACGAAAGTGGACCAAGTCAAGTCATATTTTAGTCTCTTATTAAAAATAAATAAAAAAGAAAAAGAAAAAAAGGTCATATTTTAGTGCTATTAATAATTAATAATTAATAATTAATTGAATAATAATAATAATAGAATATCTAGATTCTAGACATAGCCAGCTCCAACCCCATATGTAATGGTCAGGCTGGGTCAAGACTCAAGATCCGTTCTCTCACGCTCCTCTATCGGCGCGTATACCACCCCCGCTATATACACACACACACACAAACACAGTTCTAGGAAATGAAACTAACAAATGTGACTTTTTATTTCTTATATCATTTATTTATTTATAGGTTGCTTTCCTACTAAAAGAAGAAAAAAGATGAATAATAGATTTTCCCTTACTATATAGTATTGTAGTAATATTCTAATAAAGAGAAAGTATATATTTTAAGGTAAGTTATTCATTGTTTGTACAAACAAAGAATCTTTGCACAAGATAACAAATAAATGTTTGATAAAAATTAATTTATGAAAGCATCTCAAACTCAAGTTTATTTTGCTATACTGTGAGTGGAATATACTGAGTTGATCGTTACCATCGGTACACAATTCATCTGAGTGTAATACAAATTTAACCACCCAGATTAATCTAATTAGGTAACAAAAGTTAATCCAAATCAACTTTTATAAAGTTATTAAATAAGCATTATAAAATCTTAATAATTTTCATTATAAAAAAATAAAATCTTTAAGATTTATGCATAAATCAACATATTTTTCAAGTACTCAAATGTACAACAAAAAAGAGAGATGTATAAAGGTACAACCTTTTAGGTGTTGTACATTGTTCTGTAATAGTTGTACCCAATTTGGAATATTGACCGAATTCGTTATTCCGCCGTCGTAGTGTGACATGTTCCGGGCCTTCACAGCCGTACACAGTTTTATTTACACACACAAACACGCACTACACGCAATCATTAAAACCGAATTAAAATTGAGAAAAAAAACAATGAAAATGGTGAAAGCGAAAAATCTCTCCTTTTCTCGATTCTTTTTCAGAGAGATTACAGGTAATCGATATTGATATTTATATATATATATATTTATATATATATATATATATATAAAGTATTTTTAGAGAGAGAAAGAAGAGAGAGAGAGAGAGAGTAACAATTGGGTTTTTAGAGAAAAAAGTGCGTGTTTGGATTGGTCGTCTGGTTTTGATTCCTCGTGTCACCGCTTCAAAAAGATAGAGAGAGAGAGAGAGAGAGAAGGGAAACGAAAAGGAACTTCTTCTGTATTGGGGGAAATTGTATTTTGAAAGATCGGAGCTAGGGCTTTTTTTTGGGCAGAATGAAGATTGAAAATGCGATTCGTTGAAAATTCAAGCTCCGATCTTATTGCAAAGCTTCTCAAATTTTAGGGCTAGAAATGGACGTCGATTCGGCTATGGCGGCAGAGCCTGATCACGATCCGTCGGAGCAGCCGACCACTGCTAATGGTGCCGACCACCCAACCGAATCCGAATCCTTGTTGCCTCAGCAGCATCAGCAGCAGGAGCAGCAGAGTAACAATAATATTATCGACAATAGTAGTAATAGTGGCGGTGTTGGTGGTCCAGGGGCGGCGGTGGCGGGTCCACGGTGTGCGCCGATGTACACTGTGGTGAACGCTCTGATGGATAAGAAGGAGGATGGTCCTGGTCCGCGGTGTGGCCACACCCTGACGGCTGTGCCTGCTGTTGGGGAGGAGGGAAGTCCTGGGTATATTGGCCCTAGATTAATTCTTTTCGGAGGAGCGACTGCACTTGAAGGGAATTCTGGTGCATCGGGAACTCCTTCATCGGCCGGAAGTGCAGGAATTCGTATGTTCTACTAACTTCTGATATGTTCGATTTGGTATTTTTGTGTTTTTGGTATTGAGAGTGCGCCTGATTATTTTTCAGTTCAGTATATGACCAAATATGATATTTTCCCCCAATTGTTAAAGATGTCGATGCCTTGAGTTGATTTGAGTACCATATGTGCTACTTTATGGTTGGAAAAATGAATGGTCCAGGTTTTGATATTTGTAGCATTTGGCTTGTTTTACTTTTGCTTTTCTTTCTGAAGATTACTGGTGAAAGAATTATTCAGGGGAGTAGGAAATCAGAGTTGATTTGTTTATTCAGGCTGTTTATATTATGAAAAGCTAGAGATGGACACTGTATCGTATTTACTGGATTATCTCAGATATTAGATGTGGCATTTATGTTAAATGAGTGCATGCTAATCTGTTTGAGGTTTGTAGGTTTTGTGGGTTGAGTGACACTTAACTGGTCTATATCCATGTTTCTATGTTGGATTTTGAGTTTGCGGGATTAAGATATAATTTTATTGAAGAATTGTCTTTCAATCAATTTAACTTCCCTTTTAACGTTTCTTGAAAAGAAAAGAAAAAAGAAGAAGTAGCAAAGCTGTTCAGTACTTCATATTGCTGCCAAGGCCTTTTGAAATGACAAAAACCTTGAAATTAATTTCTCATGTGTATTCTTCGATTCAGAGAAGTTTTTGACATTTAAGCATGTATCCCATTGCAGGTTTGGCAGGGGCTACAGCCGATGTGCACTGCTATGATGTTTTGACAAATAAATGGTCTCGGTAAGCTTACATTGGTTATTTATCATGCCAATTATATACTCTCTATTTGTGCATTTTTTTAGTTGCGTGATTGCTGTTCTGTTGGTTTGAACTTTTCACAATATGGTTTCAATTTTATAGAATTACTCCAATTGGAGAACCACCAACACCTAGGGCAGCTCACGTGGCGACTACCGTAGGTACCATGGTCGTTATTCAGGTTTGTTGACATGGATTTGGAAAGTTGCCTCATTTGTTTTTCTTGCGTGAGGATGTATGATGAATAACATTCTTGTCCATTACAGGGTGGGATTGGTCCAGCCGGTTTGTCTGCAGAAGATCTTCATGTTCTGGATCTTACTCAACAGCGGCCAAGATGGCACAGGTTGGTTTCAGCTACAGAATTGCACACACACACATACATATATATATTTATCTACATGAGAAAGTATTGCTCTTGATTATCAAATTTATTTACATCCCACTTCCATATTCAATGGACTGAAATTTCCTTCTACTTAGGGTTGTGGTACAAGGTCCTGGGCCAGGGCCACGCTATGGCCATGTCATGGCTTTAGTTGGACAAAGATATCTCATGGCAATTGGCGGAAATGATGGTTTGCTTTCTGTTAATTTGTTTCCCCATCTTGTAGTTTGTAATTTCCATCAGAAATAATTTGGTGCATGCTTATTAGGAAAACGACCTTTAGCTGATGTATGGGCACTGGACACTGCTGCAAAGCCATATGAATGGCGGAAACTGGAACCAGAGGGTGAAGGTCCACCCCCTTGCATGTGAGTCAGCAACTTCCTGGGCCCCTTATCTTTATTCATTTTTTCTCTCATTATGTTCTTACATTCTGGCTTTAAAATTTATGCTTTCACTAAATTAGCCTGCTTTCTACTTGTTAACATTTGAATGAAGTCATTATGTTTAATCAATGGTTACTCTTTATTTTCCATACAAGGAAACAGATATTTTTTGGCATACATTTCTTTGTAATTGGTAATTGAGTTTATGCTTTCTATTTTTGTCAAGTTTAAGGAAATTAAATATACATACAGCTATTCATGATTTTTTTAGCTCAGTTCTTGCCCAGCAACTTTATTTTGTCTTATGTGCACAAATTGTTTATTTCAATTAATTTGTGTGTCAGTTTGTTCGATCAGATATGTAATCAATCGCTTCAGAATAGGCGCTACTTATTTTTCTCTTGTTGTAGATCATATTTCACCATTATATTAACTGTAGAAGTTGAATAATATTGCCATAAAGGTTCCAGGAGTACATTTGGCCTTCATAGGTTAAATGTATTTCAATTTTAATGTAACACTTCCACTCTTAGTTGCAGCATTATGGTCCTTTCCGTTTGACTAAAGTATTCTTGTTCCAAGTTGAAGTGTCCGTATTCTTGCATTAATTGTCTCGAACACCTTGTCATTGTGATGAATAATGTCGCATTTTTTTTTTTCCTTTATTGCCTTTGTTCAACCCTTATTCAAATAAAAGTAATTGGCCTAGTAGTTTTTCTTTATCTTGAGGCAGCATTTACTTTTGTCAAGCTATTGCTTATAGATCCGTTAAATTAGTTTCTTTGTGGTTTCATCTGTAACAGTTCTTACACCATAATGAAATTGTATGCACTGAATCTTCATAGGGTCTGTAACCAGCTAAATCTGCGGATTTAGCTGGTACACTTTGCTCTTATGTAATATGTATGGGATTTTTTTGCCTAGTTAGTATGAAATAAGATGTACGGAATAACCAGGATATTCAAGAAAACTTCATTTTCTATTACAGATCGCATAACTAAGTTTTTGGTTACATTGGATTTACATAAGAATTTAATTAAGTGTGAGAACAATTCATGTCTGTTTTGTGATCTTTCAAGCATGACGGTTTGAAATTGAGTTAGAGGAATTCATTGGATGTAGCAAATTATTCTTGGAGTCATTGCTTGTGTCTTTTCTGGCTTGAATGGATTATGGACCAAGAACCTCTATGCATTCAGATTGGATAATTTTTCATTGGGTTCATGAAATATTAGGTCATGCGAACCTAATTTCGTGTCTTCGAGGATTATATCAGCTCACTAAACTAGAAAATTGTACTCTTTTAGTAGTTTGAAATTCATTACTTTTATTTTCTAATGGTCGATATGCAAGCTTTATACTGATAAGTTGCATCCTGTTTTATGGGACATTTGCGGAATTCAATCATGCCCAAAACTAAAACTTATATTGACATTTTATCTTGCATCTCCACTTGCTCAGGTATGCGACTGCAAGTGCACGTTCTGATGGTCTTCTTCTGCTTTGTGGTGGGAGGGATGCAAATAGTGTGGTTAGTATGGTTTCCAAAATCTTGTGTCATATGGGAATGATGTATCGGATTCATTTTTTTTTTTTTTTTTAATGGGATTCTTTGCTTTTTTCTCTCAAAATATTGTGTTTATATCAGATTCTTGTTTCTTTAATGAATCAGTGCAATGGCTTGTTTTTTTAAACTGCACCAAACTGTCATGTCGGTTAACACATGGGAGTAATATTACAATGTATTTGCATTGCAAATTGTTTTCATATGTATCGAACATTAAGTGGAATTACTGAGTTGAAGGTGACTATATTAAATGTTTACATGTTTTTAAACTTAACATGGATAGGTCCAAGGGTCTATTATATGGTAATTTCAAGTTTTGTGCTCTTCCAAGTTCCATGCATAAATATCTGGAAATGTTTTCTGTCAACTCTTGATATGTTTGAAAAGTTTTCAAGAGTTGTTTAGAATGTAATAATTGTTTTTACATTTTTAGTATTGATCCATTTACGCTTTCTACTATCCTTTGACTTCTGTTTAAATGACCGATTAATGCAGCCACTGGCTAGTGCATACGGGCTCGCCAAGCACAGAGATGGTCGATGGGAATGGGCCATTGCTCCTGGTGTCTCACCATCTTCAAGATATCAGCATGCAGCTGTTAGTTCTTATTGAAATTTTCTGTTTCCAAGCTTTATCGATCTTATGTTCTAATGTATTTAGTCACATTTAATAAAGTTCATTTTCGTTTTTCTCTTAGTTGAAAATTTATGATTTATTTCTCCACAGGTTTTTGTTAATGCACGTCTTCATGTATCCGGAGGAGCTCTTGGCGGCGGGCGTATGGTAGAGGACTCCTCAAGTGTGGCTGGTACTTTTTATTCATCCAGTTGGCTATCAAGACTTTCTTGCATCTAACCAGAAAGTTTAGTTCTTTTAACAGAATACTGCATGTACTTGATGTTTTAAATAAACATTTCATGTTGTTTTCTGCAGTATTGGATACTGCAGCTGGAGTTTGGTGTGACACAAAGTCTGTTGTTACGAGCCCGAGGACTGGGAGGTACAGTGCTGATGCTGCTGGAGGCGATGCAGCAGTTGAATTGACAAGACGCTGTAGGCATGCTGCATCCGCTGTCGGGGACTTGATTTTCATCTATGGTGGTTTACGTGGTGGTGAGACATGATACTGCTTCATAAATAATATATATATAATACTGGATCTACATGAAAGCAGTAGCGTTTCATAATTTGGTACCTTTTACGACTTGTGTTGTTTTTATCGCCAAAGCTTGTTTTCGTAGCATTTCCATACCTAGATCTGAACCTTATATTCAATTGTGACATGGAAAGTGGAAACTGTACGTTTCACGATTTTGTTGAGGTTTTCTGTTACATAAAGCTGAGCGGTTTTGTATTGTATGTTTCTTATTAGCCGTTTTTTGAAGACGTTATGTGAATACTTTACGGGGTGTGGCTCACTAACAGTAGGAATATTGTCATTTTGTTGCATTAGGCGTACTGCTGGATGACTTGCTTGTTGCTGAAGATTTAGCTGCTGCTGAGACAACTAGTGCAGCTTCCCATGCAGCTGCTGCCGCAGCTGCTTCTGATGTACATCAAGGGAGGTTACAAGGTAGATACGGGTTTACTGATGACAGAAATGGGGCAACTGTGCCTGATGCTGCTGCTGATGGTGCTGTTGTGGTAGGAAATGCTGTTGCTCCCCCTGTAAATGGTGATATTTATACAGATATAAACACAGAAAACGCAACTTTCCAAGGTTCCCGGTAAATTGGTTTGCCTTTTCTCATCGTTTATAATCATGTAGTTTCGCTGTCTTTCTTGTTTCAAGTTTCTGAGCCTATTATAATATTCCTGTACAGAAGCTTGAGCGAAGGTGTTGAATATCTAGTTAAGGCATCAGCAGCAGAAGCTGAGGCTATTACTGCCGCATTGGCAGCTGCTAAAGCTCGACAAGTCAATGGAGAAGTTGAGCTGCCCGATAGAGATCGTGGCGCGGAGGCTACCCCTAGTGGAAAACAAATATCTACCTTGATCAAACCTGATTCTTCAAATAATTCCATTCCAGCTGGAGTTAGGCTTCACCACCGTGCGGTCAGTATAATCGTAATGAAATTTAAAATCTTGGTAATAGTTGAGTATTTAATCGGTTTCATCATCCTCTACGAATAATTTTGTAGGTGGTTGTAGCTGCAGAGACTGGTGGCGCTTTAGGTGGTATGGTCAGACAGCTTTCCATTGATCAGTTTGAAAATGAAGGCAGGCGTGTCAGTTACGGAACTCCAGAGAGTGCAACTGCAGCTAGGAAACTTTTAGATCGTCAAATGTCTATTAGCAGTGTACCAAAAAAGGTATTCTTTCATAAACTCTAATGTTCTATGACATCTGGTGGTCAAATGTAGAGGAATATAATTGCGTAAGGTTCAAATCTAATTGCCAATCCCCTACTATTTCTCACTTTTCCTTTATTCTGCACCTAATTCTTGATGGGATAGTTCTGGACTGTGCTTTTGATCAATTAAGTGCTTAGGACTGGATAAAGGAAAAACTCGTTCCCTAATATTTTTTGTTCAAAAAGTTGAAGAGAGAGTTACGCCATTGTCATGGTATTCTCTTAGATTTTGTTTGAGGAATAAATTCGACAATAAGGTCAAAAGTTTTTGTATTTTAATAATCAGAAATCGTGACTGTTGCCTTCTCAGTACATATATGTATTTCTGTGATTCAAAAAGGTTTGTTAAAGTTGAAGCTCTTGGCTGCTCTGTCTTCCAGGTGATTACTCATCTTTTGAAGCCTCGTGGTTGGAAGCCTCCAGTTCGCAGACAATTTTTCTTGGATTGCAATGAGATTGCAGATCTTTGTGATAGTGCTGAGAGAATATTTGCTAGTGAACCTAGTGTTCTGCAGCTAAAGGCTCCAATTAAAATATTTGGTGATTTGCACGGGCAATTTGGGGATCTTATGCGACTTTTTGATGAGTATGGATCACCGTCCACTGCTGGGGATATAGCGTACGTATCAACATCTTATCTTACTAGGTTGCTTTAATATCATGACTGATCTTATTCTACGAGAGAGATAATTTCATTATCTCGTTGCTCTAGCAGCACCATAAGTGATTTGGACAGTGACGCTCATCTTCATATTGAAACACTTTCTTGTTATGGAATTAATAGTGGCTATGTTAAAGCTTATGTTAAATCAATATATTCTACGCTTGCCATCAGAGTGGTGATTACTGACGTGTCAATTTTTGTACTAATCCAGTAGACCTGACCACCGGTTCGGTTAGAACCGGAACCGGAACCGGAACCGAACCGGGGTCAACGGTTTTAGAACCGAACCGGAACCGGTTTGACCAGAACCGGAACCGGAACCGAAAAAACCGGTTCGGTTCCGGTTCCTCATTTTTGGAACCGGGAACCGACGGTTAGAACCGCGGTTCTAACCGTTTGAACCGGTTTTTTATAAAAAAAAAAAAAAAAAAAAAAAAAAATTAATTTCCTAGCTCTCTCTCTCTCCTCTCTGTCTCTCTCTCTCTCTCTCTCTCTCTCTCTCTCTCTCTCTCTCTCTCTCTCTATATATATATATATATATATATATATATATATATCTGTATATATATTTATATATATATATCTGTATGTATATTTTATATATCTATATATATATATATCTGTATGTATATATATATATATCTATATATCTGTATCACTGTATGTATATAATATATACATATTTATTTAAAAAAAATTACGTATTTAAAAAAAAAATTAAGTTTTTTAAATATACTTTCCACTTAAAAAAAAACTATTTTTAAAAGTGTTTTTTTTTTTTTTTTAAGTTTTTTAAAGTATTTATATATATATATAAAATAATAAAAAAAAATTTATTAAGAACCGGCGGTTCTACCGGTTCTAACCGGGAACCGAACCGGAACCGAACCGGAACCGGTTAGGAACCGAACCGCAAGGAACCGGATTTTTTCGGTTCGGTTCCGGTTCCTCCAAAATCGGAACCGGAACCGGCGGTTTGGAACCGGAACCGGAACCGAACCGAACCGTGGCCAGGTCTACTAATCCAGTAGTGGTTTGCACATAGTTAAAATGATTGCTCATAGACTACGTTTGAATTGTAATCTTGACATCGATGCATGGTTGTATCTCACGCTGATTGTATAAATGTCTATCAGGTATATTGATTATCTATTTTTGGGAGATTATGTTGATCGAGGCCAACATAGCTTGGAAACCATAACTCTTCTCCTAGCATTGAAGGTATATCATCTCTCTACTGCTTCATTCTTCTCTCATTCTTGTTATCTAATATAAACTAAAATGTGTTTGCAAATTCACTAATTTGTAGGTTGAGCATCCCCATCAAGTACATTTGATTCGGGGTAATCATGAAGCTGCAGATATCAATGCACTTTTTGGGTTTAGAATTGAGTGCATTGAGCGCATGGTAAATTACCAAACTTCTTATCACTTTGTACTTTGTTATTTCGGATGATCCCATAGATCTTATGATAGTTACCTTAATAGGGGGAGAGAGATGGAATATGGACATGGCATCGGATAAATAGATTGTTCAACTGGCTTCCGCTGGCTGCTTTGATCGAGAAAAAAATTATTTGTATGCACGGTGGTATTGGGAGATCAATAAACCATGTAGAACAGATCGAGAATATTCAGCGTCCAATTGCAATGGAAGCAGGATCTATTGTTCTTATGGACTTGTTGTGGTTAGTGCATGTCTTTTTCTCTTTGCTTATTCTTCTTCGTGGTTATGTAATTTAAACTCTTGATTGGATGTTTCCTTGTAGGTCAGATCCCACCGAAAATGACAGTGTAGAAGGACTGCGTCCAAATGCAAGAGGTCCTGGGTTGGTAACCTTTGGGGTGGGTATTTCTTTTCTCTGTTAAATTTTCTTTAATTTATATCATGTACTTTAATGCTTCTGCTTCTGTTTCTTGTCTGTGGATAGCCTGGTAGTGGCTTCCTCGTTGGAACTCTCTTCTCTGAATACACAGACAAGTATACAAGTGTATATATATATATGCGCACATATATGTGTGTATGTGTGTGTGTGTGTGCGCGAGCGCGCGTCCGTAAGATCGTCTCTTTCTCTTTGTATTCAATTGTACAACTGTCGAGATAAAGGTTGTCGAGTTCAAATATAATTTAGTAAGTTTTTGCATAGTCTGCTTAGAGAGGATGTAAATTGATTAAGTTTCATGAAGGATGACATAAGGCTATATTTTAAGCAATTGTTATCATAGAATATTTCCATTGAGGAGTTAAAACTGGTTCTAACATTTTCATCAGATATACAATCCTAGAGTTCTGAGCACAGTACACTGTAAGCCCATGCAAAGTTTTCCAAGAAAACCTAGTCTCAAATTCCCTTTGAAGGCTGTTGTTTATGGAAGCATGATCTCCGTGTGTTGCTTCATACTCCCATATACGCAAAGTTATGTTTAGGAAATTTATATTTTTTCCTGAATAAATTGATGGAAGTCATATGTTCACTGTATATTTACTCGTTCAAGACGAGTTCTAGATATTGATTTAAGGCGTCTTAAGCCAAATATAATAATCTCTATCTACTAGTCTTATCTTTTCCGCCTTTTGAAACTTGTTCGGTAACTAGTTTACAAATATGATATCTTTTCTGCTTCAATGTTTCTTATTTATATACTTATTTTCTTTTATTTAGTATAGATATCATGGCTTCATTGTTCATCCGATTTTTCTAATAAGACTATTTACCTCCCATTTAAGTGATCAATAGTTCATCAAAGTTTCTTTGTTTTGCAGCCCGATCGAGTTATGGAATTCTGTAACAATAACGATCTTCAATTGATTGTGCGAGCACACGAGTGTGTGATGGATGGATTTGAAAGATTTGCTCAGGGACATCTAATTACTCTATTTTCAGCCACAAATTACTGTGGTATGTCTAATTTATTGTACAAAATCGCTGGTACTACGTCCAGAGTTCAGTTGTTGCTGGTTGTTTCTGAGGTTCTTATTTTTATATTTCTGCAGGTACTGCAAATAACGCTGGAGCTATCTTGGTTTTGGGTAGAGATTTGGTAGTTGTACCAAAATTAATTCATCCCCTGCCGCCTGCAATCTCCTCTCCAGAAACCTCTCCTGAACGCCATATAGACGACACATGGATGCAGGTCTTAAAGTCAATTTCCAATGTTTCATGTTTAATATGATGAATTACAAAAACTATCCTTGAGGTTTGGTCTAAATTGGAAAAAAAAAATTAAAAATTAAAAAAAATAACTAACTTTTGAAATTGCAAAAAACCTTCAAAAGCCCGATTTCTGGTTGGGCATCACTCTCTATCACAGGCCGTTCCATTCTTTGTTTTAAAAAGCACCGTTCACCGACGGAAATTGGTCACCAAATTAAAAAAAAAAAAAAAAGAGGAAACTCATAAACAAACGTCCTGAGAGATCTGTATTACAAATTTAATCAGTCTTTTATTTTTATTTTTATTTTTGTTGTTAACTACTCCGAACTAATTATATTTTGATAGTTCGATCTTGTGTCAAATGTGTGTTCATGTATGTGCTGAGATTTATCCTCTGTCTTCAGGAGCTCAATGCCAATAGACCACCCACGCCGACAAGGGGCCGCCCTCAAGTTGCAAATGACCGAGGTTCTCTTGCTTGGATTTAGATTTATGCCTACCGGATTGTGTTTTTTATGCTTCTTCCAGGACCATGCTAACAGAAACTGGAATCTCCAGCCATTTGTACATAGCATGACATGATGAATGCCGTATGGAGAATTCTCTTAGAGGCTTTGAACTCTCCTGGTAGAATGAGCAAAAGCTTTCAGAAGATGACAAGAGAAAGGTTCCCAACTTTCTATACTTGAGAGAGCTATCCCCAGGGTTTTTGAAACATGTCCTCTGCACGTCGGACTCAAATAGGTTTTCTTTTTCTTTTTTGGGTCTAGCGTAGTTGTATTATTTTTTTATATCCGTGTTTTTTTAAGAGGACATGAGGTCCTTATACGTGATTTGTGAGATAGATATCGTCGTGTTCAAAATGTGTTGATCTTTCATGTATAATAGAGGGTGTTGGGTTGATTGCCTTGTGTAATTCATATTTTCAACTTGTTACGGTGTATTCCTCCTTGTGTGAAGAAGATAAGTTTCCGTTTTTGGTTAGCACAGTATAGTGTGTCATTAGGTACTTTTAGTCATTTTTTCGTTAGCATCATCATCAGTGTGTTGTTTGGTACTTTTGTTTTTCTTCACACGCAATGATAAATCCTCGACTTTTGAACTTTGTTTTTCTTTCTACTTTTCGCTTTTCCAATTTATCGTTTTTCAAATTATTGATTGCTGGTTAGATTTTGGTAATTATTTGGTACATATGAATATCATCAAAAAGTGACAAATACCGAAGTTAATAGTTGACTCTATGAAACAGAATAAATACATTGGGATACGAAAGCATCACGGTAAATATAGTGTTGGAGAGATAATTGTACAATGCGAGGACTTTCACTCAACAAGATTCGAGTGAAAAGTGCCATCTTAAATTAGTAGCCACTGAAAGGGTACAAGTTAATGAACAGTTTCTATTACTACGGCTACCAAGCTTTCTCAAGTAATATCACACCTGGTCAACCAGAGAAAGCACAAGGGCCCACAATAATCACCCTCGTTTCACTGGCCTTTGGACGTACGATTTGTTTGGATCCTCTGTTTTCAGCTTTGGAGGTCGAAGCTCTCCTTTCTTAACCTTTATGATTAATAGAAACAAAAATTGCTCAAGCCACCTCATTTATGCTAAATTTGGAACATAACCAAATCAAATATGAAACACAATCTTACCTTTTTTCCACCCTTCATAAAGTCTCTCCAGCTGGAGACCTGTCAATAAATAGTCGATTTAAAAAAAAAAAGGATTAAACTCAGTTAAAAATGGAGGCATTTGCTTGTACGAATTTCTCAGTATTTCAGACATTTTTCTTTCAACTTCTCAGATTCGACCAAGACAGCAGCAATATTAATACTAATGATTAAAATACATATGCTAAAGAAGCAAAAGCCTATTTCAGCTAACAAACGAAATCCTGAACCTCTTTATGCATGTCTATATCACAGAAAAATAAAATTAAAAATATTAATAAGCCTCATGCAACATGATCAGTACATATTTCAGAACGTACTTATATTCAGTCCCGACATCACAGATTATATATACTTAAAAATAAGCAATTAGAAGGGTAACCCTTTGAGAATCACATATGCATGCGAAACTAACCCTTTTTTCTCTCGTGCCTTCCCATTGTTCCTCATGTTCACGCTTCCGTTTCCACTGCTCTTTTGTCTCTTCTTCATCTTTCTTTAATCTACCTTCCTCTTCTGATATCTGCAATATTCAAATACAGTACAACCATCAGTGGTATATAAGGAAATTGTCTTACAGTCAGACTACACAGTAATGCAGCATACCCTCATTTGCATCTTCCTTCTCCTCCATTCTTGGTCTGTTAGAAGTTCTCGAACCTTCAATTTTAACTGCTGCTGGAATTCCTCTGATCGTTCAAATTCCTGCTCATATTTTCCCTGTCATTGTTTGAAGGTGTAAACATCAAAATTGCCATTTGTAGTCTGGAAATTCAACTACTATAAAGTTCAAGTTTTAATCATAGAAATGGGCTATAGCAATGTCTTTCTTGAAAATCCACTAGAAACAAATAGTGGGATGCATGCATGGGACAAAGGTGAAAAGCACAACCCAAGAGAAAGACAAAGGATCGATTAAATTCTGCTTGTCAATATAAACTAACAGATTCAGTTAGTGAATAACACAAAAAGAAAGATTAAGCAAGAAAGCATAATATGCGAATCGATTTTACCTCATCCACTAATGACTTCAACTTCGAAGCAGTGTCTTTTTTCAGCTTCTTCTTCCTCTTTGATCTAAGTTCATCTGCATCATATAGTTAGAAACATGAGCCTCTCTAGAGATTGATCACTGAAAACTAGTATTAGAAGCAGAAACATAGAAATCTGCAGATACTTCTTATAAGCCTAAATATATCATTTTAGTGGTCCATTTAGGTGAGAACTGACAACGTGGATAACAATTATTTGTGTCTGTAGTATGTCACCAGATTGAGAAATGAGAAACCAAAAAAATAAATGGCGTAAGACAAAGTGCATGAAGAGTATCCTTCACAATCTTTCCAGCAACACGGCATAGTTCAAGTTTCCCAGCAACAGCAATACGACATTAGTTACAATGAAATACGAATAAGATATAAAATCAAATCATTCTCCATCAATAAGGACAACCAATGAAATAAAACAGAAGAAAAGAATTTGAACTGGGAAAAGGCAGTTGCTGAAACTACCGTCTAGCATTTATTTAGATTATTCAATTCATTAACGGCTGATACAATCGGGATTCCCAGTTTTAATAACATTTTTTTTGGATTGCTTCATTGGCTTTTATTCAGAGTGCACCTCTGTAGTGGATATGACTGAATAAAATTATGTAATTCAAAGACCCGGTTTTAAAATGGCAATATCAAGGGACAACCAGTTGAATCTAAAACATATATTTTAATCATAGAGAATATCAAAATATGAGGCAAAATTGGAAAAATAGGTCTTGAGTAAATAATTAAACAAATGAAATATGTGAGAGAGATAGAAGAATATAAACTCAAGGACTAACCTTTTGCAGCAGTAACTTGGTTTAAAAGATACTCCCTCTCTTGAGGGTCGAGTAATAGTTGTTGAGCTTTTGCTAATGCTGTTAAAAAACAAAAGAATGTAGGTTAAGGTAAACAAAATTTTGAAAGACGCTAAATCAAAAATAAAAGTTTAATTGTGCAACCAATAACCAGAAAACAATAATGATATTTTTAACCATATATAAGAACAGTCTATAAAGCTGCAACACATAATTTGTGAAATAGACGCACATAGATAGCATAAACCTGTTAATTAAGTCCATACTGTCACCAAAGAGTAAAAATTGGATCTATTGATCAAACAGCATCTCCTCCTCGCAAACTCAAATATTGTGTAAGCTACTATTGTATATATGATAAGGATCACCACTAGCACCAAATATAGATTACTTCCACTAATTAATAATAGTGCAATAGAATAATACTGATTTACCTTGTCAGAAAAACTACTGAACATTCAAAAACTTTGCTCTATACTGAATATCTAAACTTCAAAAGAGTATCAAATAAGCAGTACTCCGGAATAGAGTGCCTAACTTGACTAATAGATTGGAAAAATATTGTTAGCATACAAGAAGAAAAATGGCTGATCATAACTACCCTGCATAATGAATTTCTTTATTCGAAGTGCTTAGGTTCTTAGTTATATTAAAAGTTAAAAAAGAACCACTCTTCTTTTATAAAATACTACATTATTTAGCAGATGGGTTAGCAGATTCCAATGATCATAGAACCGTTTTTAACTTGCAGTTCTAAGTTCTAGTGTATGCCACAGTGACATACTGCTCATACAGAAATTCCGTCAAAACGAACTTATGAGTGGGAAAAAAGCAATTCTAGATTAAGAATTTATTTTTCTTGTATCCTAACAAAATCAAGCGATTAAACAAATATATACTAAAAAAGGTCCGATTACAAGCTCAAGTGCAGGGAGTCACAAAATAAAACATTATTTACCTCCAAATGCCTCCTTAGATTGGGGATGTTTACACTTATCAGGATGGACAAGCAAAGATAGCTGTAAGAGGAGAAAGTAACATTAAACATATTTCATAATTTCTCAAATGATACCAATAAACAATGCTTAACAATTTCATAAGACGAACACATTACCTTACGGTATTGTCTTTTCACTTCATCTACAGATGAATCAAATGGTAGGTTAAGATATTCAAAAGCATTTAACTTGAAGCATGAAAGGATCCTACAGCAGCACAAAAGTTACTGGATATTCAGCAAGCAGTAAATCATCAGTAGTTAAGGATGCTTGCACGTGAGTCAGACTATAAAATCACTCGTCACATCAATTTGTTCATTAAATAAAAATCTTGAGTCTCAAACAAAAGAAAAATATGTTCCAAACATAATCACATAGAAAGTCCACTGGTTCCTGTGTTTAGGTATCACACTTCTAACATGAATTCTGTAATATGATTGCACGGGGCGGTTATCATCTCATACTGAACACAAACTAACATCAGATGTTATATTACAAAGACTGTCAGCTTAATGATTCTTTTATTGCGAAGGCCTTAATGATTCGCGGATCATCTGTAGATAATGACAGTAACAACTGGTTATTCATGAAGATAACCGTTGCATCATACATCTAAAATATGAAGCTCAAAAGCTCAAGCACTTTCATTACCTTATTTCAGTAATTGTATAGAAGGGTAAAATACACAACTATCAGAAAGTTCAAAAAAGATTGAATATGACGAAATGAAGCCACAATAACGAGCAATTACAGCCCTTTAGTCGAAATCTTAAACATTGGATTCTATTGACATATTTTGGCATGAAATAAAAAAATGAATCCTGCTAAATAACCTAACCTACATAAAAATTGAGCTTAAATTCCCACTACCCACAGCTCGAACAATTAGGATAGGATTATCCACAATATTTCTCCTTTTTAGAAATTTCTCCTCATAATCACTCGTTCGTTTCACTTCCAATCATATCTAGATACAATTACAAACCTCTATATATTTCCTTCACGCATTCAAATATATATATTTCAGCAATTACATGATGCAAAAACCTTCATGATTTTTATATCAATATAGCGCAGAAACAAGCACAGTTGAAGAAATTAGAAGAATTTTGTTTTTCCACCGGAAACCTATATATGCATATAGAAGAGGAAAAACCTGTTGACTTCGTTATCGCGCTCAACCTCGCTGACTTCGGCGAAAAATTTCTTGAGCAGCAGATCTTCGTCGGCGGAGGTAGCAGCGGCGGGTCGATTGGCGGAGGAGGTGGTTCCACTGTTGTCACCCATCGGAGATTTTGATTTTTTCTCTTGACAAATTGCCGGCGAATTGAAATATTGATCGAGATTGGGCCTTTGATTGACTATTGTTGGTTACGGCCCACGGGCCCGGAAGTTGAATTTATGGGCCTAATTACATATGTACCCTACACTTTTTCTACCTTCAATTTTCTTTTTTTAAATTAAACTTAATTCACTCAAATTCATTTCTTATCCAAATAATAATTGTACGCTAATAATTATATGTATTAATATAATTGTTGTATCTGTGTGTATTTCGAGATGAAGAATTTGGACAGAAATTCGATAAAAGTTTTAGTAATGAAGAAAAGTTTGAGGTAAGAACTACGTTCTTTCTCCTTAAGACAAAATGTTTTGTAACAGTGTTTTGATTATGACAATTGTCTCTCAAGATACAATGACTAACGATTCCAATAAGTAACCCAACAAGTTTTGGAATACACCGAACGAAAGAAAAGAGAATTTTTAGACTTTAGACACAGGAATTTTTGAATGTTTTGAACCAATTGAGTGAGTTGTTGGAAAACTAGAGTTTTTTTTTTTTTTTTTTTTTTTTTAATATATAGTTTTCAGAAGTTATGTTTCAAAATTTACCACACTTGGAAAAAGAAGGAGACTGAGAAAAGGTAGGGATTAAACACCAATTAGTGTTTAAAATGTCAATCCCACTGGACACATGCACAAATCGAGAAGGCGGCAGCGCAGTGTGGCTTTGCACTTAAGCTCACACTTGATTATGAATTATATACTCGAGCTACCCATCCAATACTATTTAAAGTGTGCTCATTAATTTTTTTTTTTTTTCAATTTGAATATGCGACTTTCCACCTCCCACCAAACCGTTTGAACTCACTTTAACTGATTGCAACAACTAACCTTGTGTATTAAATGATGATTCATCTCATATGAAATTTGATCTGTAATTAACTACACCACGGTTGTCTACACGAAACGTAGATTATAATTCCATATATCATTTATTACACGATTTAAACAAAGAATCTCAATTCAATATGTATCTAAAGATAATTAGGTAAACACCACAAATTTTGCAAAAGCTTTTGAGTAGTCAATTAGGGTGCACATAGAAAATAGCTAGCAACCCTAATGATAAAAATTAAATGTGGATGATTCTATAGCAAAATTAGCCCATAAACTAAGAATGTTAATTCACACACACACACACATCCGGGTGTGTGTGTGTGTGTTATGAGTAGTTATGACTCATGTGTGGAGGTAACTAATTTGTTTGAATTAATGAGCTAGAATTCATGTGCAGGTTTTATGACAGCAGCAGCAGCAGCAGCAGCTGCTCATGTATGTTAAAAGCTGCAAACAAAATAATTAAAGCAGCCCACACCCATTTATTTATTTATCACCACTAAATTCCAACATCCCAACGACATGATTTGACGTTTCAGATTCTATCTTTATTAATATTTGCCATCTCATCAACAAACTTATCATTATTATTCCTTCTTAATTATAATTATTATTATTAATTAATATATATAAAATATCCGAATAAATAATTATTCTTATACTTGGTTGGATATTTGGGTCTTACTTTCTCGATATGATATGATATATTATTAATAAGCACTGAATATGACTCATCATCACTTGAACTGTACCTATCAACCTCACCCACCATCTACAATTTTTTTTTTTTTATTAATATATATATGCATATGCATACTCAATATATATCTATATATCTCGCACAGAGACACACAGAGAAAAGTTTTGTGGCTGTTTTAGTAATTTGAGGAAGCCAATCATGTAGATGTATGTATATACGTATATGTATATCTATATATATGTCGGACCACAGTGCAACCCTTGAATGTAGGGCACTATATGTTATGGTAATCAATGTACGTACATGGTCCTCAATATATATACACACGCATAAATATATAATATGCAATGAATTATTAATTAATTGAATTCACATCAACTATCAACTGGGAATAATCACACACACACACCAGAAGGTAGTTTAACAAGATATTAAATTCATATATATATATATATATATATATATATATATATATATATATATATATATATATATATATAATCATTATATAGTAGAAGGGAAGAGATTTATGAGCGGTGGGTTGATCGATCTCCTCCAGCAGCATCGGCATGGTGATCTAATTTAGCAAGTTTGTTGGCCCCCAATTTTAGTCCATAATTATTAATATCAGGAAAATGTGCCCACTGCATTTATTTATTTATTTTATTAATTAATATATAATCCAAAACAATTAATTACACAAATAATTATATATAATTCGATCGACTTACGTTTTTTGCAGCCGTGCTAAAAGCTTCACGATGACGCATTTCAGGATTGCTGGCCTTTATCCTCTGAATTTCCTCTCTATAAATTATATACATTAATAACATAATATACATATATATATATATATGTATGTATATGTACATAAAATGAATGTAGGACATACTTTATGAAGCGATTGTATGCTGATGGAACACGTTGTCTCTTAAGTGGAGCTGTGGAAAAAAGAGATTATATATATGTAATTAGGCTATGTTTGGTGGCGCAGCTAAATGAGATTACTTTAAACACTTTTTGAAAACCTAATTAATGAATCCTATTTAGCTAGGGAAATCAATCATCATCATCAGCTGTAAGCCTGTAAATTAAATTAAATAAGGGGTAAATATTAATTATGATATATGTGACATACATGCATGTGAGGAAGCTAAGGTACAGTACACACACCAATGTGGGTGTGTTGTTTTGTGTGTGCTTATGAATAGTGAAGATATATCCGTTGTATGTATTTTACGTGGTGTAGCATAGTATAAACCGAAGATATATACGTACTACAATAATTGAATTAATAGTATGATCGATCAAGATCAATTTCTTACGGCATTTTGGAGTAGTAGTCGTGGTAGGTCGTTGTTCATGATGTTTAGTGGTGGTCGTCATTTCCATTAACGAACCAAATCTTTTGCACGTTGTTGAAGACGAGCCCGCCGTTGCTGGTTGTTTCTGGAGATTCAAAACAAATTAAACTCTTTCTTTTTTTTTCTTTTTCTTTTTTTTTCCTTTTCCCATCTATAAAATGCAACAATATAATAAACAATGTACTAAAGGGTTATAGGCTATTTTTTTCTCTCTTATATGTTTTCAAATTCTACTCTTATATATTTTAGCCAATTAAAAAACTCCACTTCACCACATAAAAAACACTCAACTAACAATCTCTCTCTCTCTGAATTCTCCATGGCTGCAAAATAGCGAGCTAGGCTTTGACCTCTCACAAACACACTCTTCTCATTCCTCCGATCCTACTGCATTTATTTATAATATATCCGAAGAAATTAAAAAAAAAAAAAAAAAAAAAACCGAAGAACAAATTAAAGGTTTATAATTTATAAGCATTTGAGGATGCTGTTTGCAGTTTACCCTCTATATAATATAAACATGCATGCATGTACATCAAGGTCTATATATATATATTTGATGAACTAGCTAATTATAAAAAGAGTGCAGAAGAATTAAGTGTAACCTAGCTAGTAATTTAATTTAAATAAGAATGTAATATAAAATATTACCTGGAAATTAGTATCTTGTAGATGAAGAGAGTGAAGCAAAGATCCCATATTAACAGACAGCAAATTTGAGCAGTGACCGCATCTAACTCTCACTATATTGCTCAACATACTGCTGCATGGAACACTAACCTGCGCCCCCATTCATTCATTCCAATTATTTTTTCTTTTTTTTATATATAATATATATATATATATATTCCATCTTCTTAATTACTTAATTACACATACACAAACCCTAACTTTAATTCCTATATACCTACCCCTTTTAATATTTGCAGTGTGTGTGTTCAAATCATATGAATTAAAATTAAGAAGAGAAATAGTGGGAAATTAAATTGCAAAGCCTGATGAAACCTATATATGTATAATAATTAATGTATCTGTGTTTCTTAGTCTAGGTTTTCATATATATATATATTATGATTGATGCCCAGTGCCCATTATCTATGTATATCGTCTCTCTTTTATTTTGGAATCCTCTCAGTAAGTAGTGCTCCTGGGCGCTCTCATCACTTTAATTTGTGGTGCTCTGTCATCCTCACTTTCTCTCTCCTCTTCCCCACTCTGTGTGTGTGTGTCTGTGTGTGTGAGAGAGAGAGAGAGAGAGAGAAAAGGACGTGACTGGAACAGAAATCATCAAAAGACCATATATATAACGAAGGAGAAGATGGAATCATCATCATCATCGATCAATATTATTATTATGTATAGTACTATGCTAGTGTAGCTCTTTGGTACTATATATATTAATGTATGCATATAATAGGTAGACTGTAAAATATATAGAGACAGTTAAAACTCCCATCCCATCGCATGCTACATACACACACATTCACACACACATATACATACATACATACATATATGTATACGTATTGCCAAATCATAGACGACTAGCTAGGTTTTGGATGTGTCTACAAATGGTGGCCTGTCAACCTTCTTAAATACTACTTTGTATAGTTCAATAAACATAAAAAAAATAATAATAATAAAAAAAATCCCATTTTCGATATATATATATATATATATATATATATATATATATATATATATATATATATATATATATTGGCATGACTTTCTTTAATTTGGAGACTTCCCTTCTGGCTAAAGAATGGGCTCTCAGCTGAGATCTGATCACATAAAAAAACCTAAATATAGATCCTAACCAGATATAAAACTTTAGTAAGTAAAATACCCATTTTTCCACACACTAAAAGGTGTGCGTTTTGCCTGCAAATTAGTATATATTGTATGTATATATACATATATGGATCCAAGAGTAAGAACATGTATAAAACAAGAAAAGAGAGCTAGGGGTCAGTTTTTGACATAAAATAATACATTTAAAAAAAAATATATATATATATATATATATATATATATATATATATATATATTAAAAATTTGAAGTACTAACCAAAGTCAATAGTATTTCATTCTCAATTCATCAGAAAATTAAAATTATCTCAAAATTAAATCTCTAGCTAGCAGAAGTTTCGACTAATTAAGAAACAATAAACAATTTTGTTTTTTTAATTAAGGATCTAACCAATTTACTCATGCAGAGTTCATCAAACAGAAAGATCAAAACAAGAATACATATAATTAATTAATTAATATACCGCAAGAACGGTGTTGCAGAAGTTGCAGTGAACGTAACAAACACGTTCGGAGGCAGCGTCCACAGACATTGTTAGTCAGATCGATCGACGAATATCGAGACGATTTTTCCCTTTTTTATATATGTAATTAACCTTACCTATATATGTATGAATCTCCACAAAGAAATATCAATCAGGTGAGAAAAAAAAAAGGAAAGAATTTGTGCTAAAAGCAGATCAAGATGTGAAGAACAAAATTAAGTATACACAAATCTGCCTCAGACTAGCTACCAAGAAATCAAACAAGAAGAGAGAGAAATGAAGAGAGAGAGAGAGAAAGTAGAGAGATAACACATATATTCTTATATGGGGTTTGGGATCACTTGATATATATATGGATAGTAAATAGGGCAAGGTAGTGAAGTACGAGTTTATGAGTAGAATTTGTATTCTTGCTTACAAATTAATTTATTTTATTATTAAGATAATGGGAGTATCTGGTTCTTTTAGTGGCACATGTAAAATATCAATAGAGAGAATAATTTATTTATAATATTATAAATGTTATATTAAATATGAGTTTTTTTTAATCATTTAGCTATATTGGAAGAAGATGGGAGGTGTTAGCGCTTGAAGTGCCATATCTAACGGCAAAATGTGTATTACTGTACTTAATTTCATGTACTGATCAATATGATTTAGTTATGTCTTGGAGGTCTGTCAAATGTTCCATACTTGTCAAATTGTCGAATCATGCATATATTATAGCTTAACGAGGTAATACGTGAATGTACTTGGGGTGAAGCCATAATTAGCATGTTCGATATTCATGTGAGTTCGCTAGCACAAAAGATCTTACGAGATTGTATTTGACTGTAATGCAACATGTATGGAGTAAATGAAGACGCATTTCATTAAATATGACAACGCCAAAAACAGAGTTATGAGTTTTTTTTTTCAATCAGCAATAATAAGAGCTCAAACAATAATGATCCAGCAGATTATGAATCACGATAACTACGTTGACTTATTACTAAGTTTTCGCTAAGTCATTTTGAAACAGAATGTTAATAAGGCTATTGAATTGCGTAGGATAAACAAGTTCGCTCCCTTGTAGACATGATCAGGGGGAGTTAACTTGAGAGGGAGAACCTGTAGGTACTCAATATCCAGAAAATATTCGGGTGCCTTGTTATACTATTTTTTCTTCGTGCGAGGTTTTTTCCACGGGATTTTCGTTGCTTGTTAAAATTTTAACGAGGCAACACATATGTTAATTGAAAAGATTGTGCATTGTACACTTTTTCCTAACCGAATTTTTTTTTCCACTGGCATTTATTAATTAGAAGGTTTTAACGAGGCCGGCAAGACGAAAAGCATAATAGTTGCTTGATAGAAAATCCAAGGGGTAGTGTTGTAAATATTATATTAAATATGAGTTTTCCTATCATTTAGCCACATCCGAGGAACTTAATTAACTTATCCGTAGTAACTTACCTAGTACTTGTAACCTATTGTAACTCCTTGGTGATTTTTACCTATATTAATGAGAAAGACTACTCCAACTAATCCCCACACTTATCTATCTACGAGTTTTTGTTCATTTTCATTATCTGTATCTCCTCTTTACATTGTTGTTTACATCATATTGTATTATATTTATACCACAATCATCAAACCAACGAGCAACAAGAACCGACCATTTTACAACAAATAATTGTATTTTAAAATAGTTTTAATGGATGGTTATGTAGTTCGAAAAATTGGTATTTCAAAATGTTAAATGTCGCTTGCATTTTACTAATACCATTTTGACTTAGAATGGGACTTCGATAATTTTCTAGTCTGATTTTAGCAAAATACAAAATTAGAAAATTGTAGCCATTTGCGGTAGATTTCTTATTCCACGTGATTCAGCTAATGTGGGTGTCGGATGACAAAGTAATGCAAATTTACTTTTTGAATTTTAGACAACTCAAATCATCAAATTTGTGGGTAGTGTTCATTGATTCATGAATAACTTTCTCATCCGATATGTAATCTTGTTTATTCAAGTTGGATTAGAAAACTAACTCAAAAAACTACAAATTTTATTTGTTGAGTTTTGCCTAGTTCAGACTAAAAGATGGTCAAAATTACGATTGAAGTTGAAAAGGTATTATTAATTAAAACGACATTTATCACATGATATCCAATATGCAGGTATTTTTTATTCGATATATTTTACTTTTTTTTTTTTTTAATACCAAATGTCTTAAAGAGATTATAAACTATTAATCAATTTAATAAAATTCACGACAATGAATTAAATGTTTAGAAAATGAGTGTCTTTCAATCAATTCACTTCAATTGTACTCTCTAAAGTTGAGAATATTGAAAGAGATTTTGATTATGACAGATGGTTTGTCTATTAGGATATCATCAGCTTACATTAAACTAAATAACACATAACATTAAAAGATATTACTTAAATACGCACACAATTTTTAAAAATAACTATTTTGTTTTAAACTATAGTTATAAAAATAATTGAATTGATTGATCACCAATATCTATTACTACAAAGGTCAACACTTTAAATTATTGAAAAAAATTAAAAATAAAGCTAAACTTAGGCTAAACTACGAAAACACCGCCACCGCCACCTATCCGTGATTACCAAAATATATATATATCAAAATATTAATGTCTTGTTTGGCTTAAGCTTGAGCCATTAAATTCCAATTCAGCACCAGGCATAGTAAAATATTAGCCATCGACAGCGTTACGGATTCATATTCGTATTCGATACAACACAAAAGCGTAAAAACGATAGATACGACTATTCGAATTTCTTGATGAGAGAAAGGTCATTCAACATTCTCTCTATTGCTTCATCATCATGCGCTCGTCCTCTAGTCTGCAAAAAGTAAAACAGGTCCCAATAGTAAGCTCCCAAAACATTTCAAAATGCAAACAAACATTATTTTCTTTCTCGATTTCTTCTCCCAAAACATCTATTTTTCCGAAATAAAAACCGAGCCAAACATAGCCTTCCATGTCAGAAAGGGCCGAGTTTGCCAAACATATTGCGTATATTATATTTTGCTGAAAGAAAAGGGATAAAAGTACCTTGATGGATGGAACCATGGCTATGGCTTCTTCAACTGTTTCTGGACAAAGGTTCCCAAGTACACAGAGCTGCACATCACATCGCACCGTTTATGTTAGATTGATACAATTTTCTTTTTTTTTTTATTAATTAACACCTAACATTCAGCTGAGAAAGAGTGCCGAAACAAATACCTCAAATTCAGCGAGCTGATGTCTACTCAGAATTCTGTAATAAGAGTTAAGATTTGCAACGTCGAAAAAAAATAAAGTTTACTACTTATGACAGCTTTGACAAACTATACTGTCAACAAACGTTTATTAATGACATTTTTTTTTTCCATAACAGAGACAAGGATACTCTCGCACTTGTCTGACAGCATCATTATTCTTATATCGGCTGAACCGCTTCACGTACTGGAGAGACTTCTCAAAAACCCTGAACAATAGTAGAACCGTAATCTGGTTAGAATTCATCGACAATCTATGAATTATCAGAAAACTATCTGCTACTTATAACTTCACCATCTCCATCTGACATCTGTAAAATTTCTATCTCATTATTTCAAACGGGTTGCCAAGTTACATATTCAACACAAAAGACCCGTCAAGATTGAATAAAAAGGACCCGTATTTTTTAAATAAGAATTGAAAAACGAGGTACTTTAGTTATAAATATAGTTCTAGACGAAGATACTAGATTTTCTCGCTTGGATTTCCATGAACTTAGAAAGGCTGTACAGAAACTGAACAAATAAACGAGTAAATGACAATTTGAAGTACGGAAGTTTACTTACTGAGACATTTGATTCATCGGATCTTCAGCCCTCTGTTGAAGCTGCTCGTATTTGTGTTCGAGAATTATGGCGACTTCGGAATTCATTAGACACTTGGCTTTCAGAAATTCTGAACAAACAATTTTAAAACACATGTAAGCCATCTGATTGAGGGGTGAATTCTCAAAATTCTCTCATTATCTACACTCCACACGCCCCTCCCCTCCCATATAATTTGCTATCCTGGGCATATTTTTTTCATGTAAAAAAAAGAACTTGGAGGAAACCCAATCCCAATCCCAATAGTGAAAATCAAAATATCCAATTTTTTTTTATCAATATAATTTGCTATCCTAGGCATAATTTTTCATATAGAAAAAAAGAACTTGGGAGAAAAAAATAAAACAAAAAGAAGAGAGGAAAATTCTTCATAAAGCTATTTAGGGTTTATAAATTGAAATCGGACTCAATTTTCAGATATGTGTCCGCAAATTAACTCAAGAAAACACAAACGCACACATATTGAATGTACAAAAAAACGTAAGCGAAACAAAATCTAAGGATAACAACAACAACAACAACAACAACAACAACAACAACAACAACAACAACAACAACAACAAATTACCATCGGGGATTTTAAGCTCAGCGGCGTTTTCCTCTTCTTCACCCGACATGATTTATTTCTCAAAATAAGAAAAAATTTATTGGATCTGCTTTCACTGATCTATGAGAATACTTCAGAACTGGATAAATCGTAAAATCGGGTTCAATCTCTCTCTCTCTCTCTCTCTCTCTCTCTCTCTCTCTCTATTCTGGACTTTGGTTGGACACGAAATAAGGTTTTCGGCTGGGGACTAATGGAATTTATAGAATAATTGAAGTGTTCCGAAATTCAACTTTGACCCCTATATTTCATTGAAATACTAAATACAATACACTTTTAATGATATATTACATAAATTTATACTTTTGTCTAGGGCTGGGACTGGGTTGATTTTTATCCACCAACCGACCCATTACCGACCATATTTTTAGGCGGATAATCAATTTTTAACCGACCCATTGGATTGGGTCGAAAAATTTAACCAACCCATCTATAATAGGTCGATTGGTGGTTTCTAATATTATCAAAAGTTGGTTGACCGATAATTTTCGGTTATCCAACTATACTATTAAAATTTTATTAAAAATATAAAATAAAGGCCGTGTTTTGTTAAGAGGTTATTGAAATTATCCAAATAAGTAGTATTTTAAATTTTAAAACAATCAACAAAGGAAAAAAAATTGACTTAAATCTTCAACCAGTTTCTTTATGCTCAAGCTTAAACAAAAAGCCCACAAAACTCCACTAAATCTCTTGTGCATGTTTAAAATTACTTTGAATTTCCTAATTATATTTTTTCGTTAAATTGTTATTAATTATTTTGAACTGATAAATGATGATCGCACCGTGGCATTACGCAAAATGTGGATATTTTTACTTCAAATTTTGAATTTTTTTTAAGTGAACTAGGTGGCGGGTATAAACCATCAACCGACTTATTTCGGAACCAAATATTCCGTTGCCAACCATCAAACGACCCATTGAGTCGACAACGGTTTTCAAATTTGAGCAAAAATGGTTTGACGGATGGGTCGGTTTTTAGGCTGGTAATCGATGGACCCAACCCAATCCCAACCCTACTTTTGTCATTAAATCCTACCAAGATAATATTTAATTTTATGTTTTAAATTCAATTAAGATTTTAGATGAGTTAATGTTGATGTTTGAGTGAAATTTACCCAAAACACAATTTAGTACTAACCAGCATCTCATTACCA